AATCACGACGTCCACGTCGTCGTTAGCCTCCAAGTGGCGGTGGATGCTGGGGGAAATCTTCGCCGTGGCAAATGCACCAACGGCAGCAATGACAGCAAACTTGACCATGTTGTAGTGGTCGAGGGAGGCAAATTGAAAAGTGGGAATGTTGGGGAGATGGCATTCGGGGCGCTACGCTTCACTCAAGTACTCATTGAAAAACGGATTGAGACGTACTAGTACGAATTCTCAGATGGAGCCATTCTGGGAAGAGTTTCGCTTCGATAGCAACATGTAACGCGGCCCGTGGTAGGTAATTTTCGGGGTAAAATTTTCGTTACTGGTATTTAGATGAACAAAACGAACGATTGATTGGTTTATATCGCCTTGAAATTCCATGAAACATCGAGTATACTACCGGAGACTAGGTTGTACGTAGATTAACTAACAGTGAAAGGGCATGTAATCGTGAGTAGAATTGACACTTCGAAGTTATTGTGAGACATGCAACATGAAATATATTTGGCGATCCTTGGCAAGCGTATTCAGACCAAGCAGCCTGAGATTAAGCTTACCTTGTGTACGAAACCCGACCACATAAGTCTGAGATTGTACTCAGATGCACTGGCATTTCACTTCGTACTATGGAGTAGTCTTTAGGGCCATACTAGTACTAGTACTACTATAGGGCCGGGTAGGCAGCTGCGATTGGCAAATACATGTCGCATCGTATGTGCTATGAATTGCAACATCAATCTATCTACGGTAGTAGGGTAAAGTTGTTCATCACTGGAACTTACTCCGAAGTACCAGCACAGTTGCTACTCAAACGACACCAGAAAGATGACATGGATTCGGACCTCAAAATCCCAAAACCATCACGAAGTACTCGCACGAGTTACGTCAACGTCGTTACTCTGCCTTGAACGTTCAGACGTTCCTGCATTCTCGATTATCCAGATTGTAAAACTCCAGAGTACTACCTGGTACTTTTTCGAATCAAGTATACCAGGCGGTAGTCTTACTCCGACACATCTGATTAGTCGTGTATGTGTGGTTGGCCGACAGCGTTCTATTTCCGTATCAAACGCTACAGTATAACGCTAAGTTATTTTACACCTCCGAACTACAGTGTAGGTACAAACATTCACGTGCCAACGCCATTCATTTGCTACAAGCATCATGAAGTCTTGCTAAGGGTAAAGTTGAATTGTCAGTGGTTAGCTATCGCTAACCACAGTCAATCAACTTAACAACCCTGGGAATAGGCTTAATTGTGGTCATTTGAGATAGGGACGGGGTTTCGGGGTTACAGGGTTACGGGTTAAAAAGTGACTTACTGTTAACAGTAAGTACAAATTGTATGAATGTTTGTTGTACCTACTGTACACTGTAGTTCACAAGTGTAAAATAACTACTGCTGTTACGCTAGCCTGAAGTCTTCTAAATTACCCCATTTATAAGCACAAATGACTACCGGTAGCTATGCGTCTTGTAGTGCAATTCCCCCAATTGAAACCGTCCCACTGTTGTTTTGACTTGAAATACTGTTTCACAGTCAAGGAAGGAATTATGCCATCCGGATACACTTTACTCGAAGTACAATTCCCCGATTAACTGTAAAACTGTTCCACAGCTTCTTTTCTCAGAAATTGTCATTTATATGGGATTTAGTAGACTCTGACCATCTCACCTCTTACTAGGGGATTTAGCATTATATGTACCACCGAGGGTAGGACGGAGTCTCAGGTTACAGGGATACAGGCATCTTGTAGGCGAATCGAAAGGAATTCTAATCTGCTACTAGTACTACGTAGTACTTTCGTTACGTTGTACCACCGACGTCTATTCCTATACGTGCCCTACAAATGCAAATGAGTACAGCCGTGAAGTATTGCAGTGTCCTTCCAAACCATGCTATTTCACGTTAGAATCGAGAGTAGGGCGTGGCTCATACGAGTAAACGGCATAACGACTTGTAAGGGGTGATAGAGGGGGTGTCGTCGGACTACCTAGTAGTACGAGGTCATACTATAGTAGTACAGCATATTCGTTCGAGCATACAGTACTTGATCCATTTTCATCGTCGAGAGGGTTTGCAGTCAGTCCTCGGCGTTGACTTCGACAGAGCAGACCAGGACTTTCAGAGATGAATACATGAAGGGGTAAATGTGTGTCCTCCAGCATTCTGTCGGCTGCAAGTGCCGATAAGAATTCCATTTCATTTCGCCATCATGGCAAAGGATGTCGTGGTATGTTTTGTAGCACGAACGAGGCATTTATGCGTCAACACTTGAGGGGTCAAGAGATGACTGAAAACGACGCGCTGTCAATTGATAAAACGTTGCTTTGTCGAGTTCATGGGTGCTAGGAAAACTATTTTCCCACGTTTAATCTGACGTTCGTTTATGTTGGTTTATAAGGAGCGATCATGTCAATCGCACCATAGTACCAAGTTCCCATATCAGGTGGTAAGGTCTTTTCTCTGGGGTATGAGTATACACTCCACTAGCACCATCATCGAACGACCCCTAGCCACAATTGGCAGTTGCCCTACCCTTTTGGTTTGTGTCGGTGGCGTGTCTCACATCTGGATGCGCAGCCAGGCTGGGTGTAGTGTCTCGCACTTGGTGGAAGAGCATCCAGGTGCGAGACACACCATCCCGGCCGACAATCTATTGTTTAAGGACTCAGCAGTAAGTTCTCGATAACAGTCGGCATCATCTCCACGACGGGAGCAATGTCAATTCGAGAGGGACGACAGAAGTAACCTACAACGAAATGTACATTTTCCACGAGGCGAACTTCTCAAGCAGTGTGCAGAGGATGCGACAATGTATATATGTATATGATCAAAGCTGTTGCACTAAGCTACGAATTTAATCGACGAAATCGATGATCTTAACGCAAACATACACTCTTCCAACGACTAACACGTCTAGACACCGCACCAAATGGTCTTGTAGTCCACAAAGGTAGCGCATTGCGCCTTGGTGTAACCAGGAGGGAAGCAATACCCGATCGACGTCGAGTAGCACGACTTGCATCCGTTGCAGCTGCCGGCGGCGGAGGTCGTCACAGGCGTCGCCTGCGTCGTGGTGGGGACGCCAGTGGTTGGGGCTGGGGTTGCTTTCGTGGTGATTGGGGTCGTGGGGGTGGTAGGGGCATTCGTGGTGACTGGGATCGTGGGGGTAGGGGACACGTTGGCACCCACCGCCCGAGCAATGTTGATGCGGCCGAATCCGTAGTTGTTGTTGGGGTAGGTGGCGTCCTTGACGCCCCCGCAGTTCTTGTTGTCCGGGGTCAACGTCTTGGTGTCCACGGTGGTCGTGAACGCCTTGTACACGTCGTCGTACGTGGCCGCCTTGTTGGCAGACAAGTAGAGCGCGACGGCACCCGTGACGTGGGGAGACGCCATGGACGTGCCCGAGATGGTCTTGTAGGCGTTGTTGCCAGTGCGCCACGCCGAACGCACCTGGTTCCCAGGGGCCGACACGTCAGGCTTGACGCGGCCGTCTTTAGTGGGTCCGCGACTGCTGAAGCTGGCCAGCTTGTCGTCGACGCCCACGGCGCCCACGCCAATGACATTCTTGTAATCCCCAGGGGAGTTGGCGGTGCCGCAGTTGGGGCCGGCATTGCCGTTGGCAAACACGGGGATGATGCCAGCAGT